TCTATTCTCTCTGGCGCATGGGGGTGGCGGAGGGGATTAGAACGTTCTGTTCCCCGAGGATGCGAATGGAATGTTCTGTCCCTCCTGATCTGTGCGATTTAGACCATTCAGTAGGACCCGCAGCTTCAGGTTTAGCGGGTGCTAACGGGAGTGAGGGTTGGATTATTACTGTGTGCGGAGGGGCGAGGCTTTTGGACCGTGCTAGCCCTTCCGCTAGCTAGGGACGGACGGTGACAGTTTGCTAATCCACCTTCCACCGCATGGAGCAAGGTTTTAGAACATGGTACTTGTAACCAGGGGTGTCCTCCTGCCACACAGGGTATAGCTATAGCTACCTTGCAGTCAGCTGCTGGGACTGATGCTTGCATTGTTTCAATCTAGCTAGCATAGGCCAACCTCCTAAACTGCAACCTAGCGACCTAACTCTGGAGAACTGGCTTTACCCACTCACCATTGAGCCCATTGTTACTTTAATACCTAAACATTGTGGCCATCTCTCAAGCTACTTGGTTTTCACAAAGCTGCAGTTCCTGACGTCATTTGATTTCATGAAAATCTCAGCATCCTCTTTTTTTTTTTAAGTAAGCTTGAATCCCGGTTGGATGCAGAATAAAGCTGATAATGTGAAAGCTAAAGGCAAATAAACTGCCTACGTCAATTGTGGAGCTTATTTCGAAATAGGGAGCGTCTACACAGCACTTAGTTCAAAATAGAGCACCCTTCCTCTGATTTCCCTGATTCCTCCTACAATGAGGGTTACAGGAGTCGGTCGGTGTAAGAGGTCCTCCAACTTGACAGTATTTTGACACTATTTTTGAAATAGCTTCCTGTTGTGTAAACACGGACTTAGAGCTTTCGGAATAGCGCTAGTTATTTCGAAATAGTGTTTCTGTGTACACATACCCAAAGTTTCTTTTGCTCCCCATTATTATGTTAATCTTGGAAAGGGACCTACATGAGACTGTAAAGTTCAATCACCTCCTTTTACTGTCACTGACAGTTCAGTTGGTCCTCTACCAAAATGAGAGTTTTCTCAAAATGCATTTTTTGAGAATGTGTACATTATTACATCTCAGTAAGCCAGAGCACCTTTTAATAGCAACAGCAAATAACTAACTAACACAGCTACCCCTCTGATACTTAACAGCAAATAGATGGGACTATTTTCTTTTATCAAGTATAGTACAATGGTTTTCCAAAATATCACAGCAGGATTACATTCCTCTTCACATTTACTTCATCTGACAGCTAAATTCTTATTCAAATATGCAGTCTCATTTAAGTCATTCTGTCAATATATCACTGAAGTCAATGTCTCATGTGAGTAAGGGTTGCCAGATTTAGCCAATTAGAGGCTAGGCCAGGAATGGGCAATAATTTTTTTGAAAAGTGGTTGAGGGCCGTACTCTTCCATGATATTAATGGAGATGCGGGGTCTGGAATGGAGGTTGGGTGCAGAAGGGAACTTGGGCTAAGGGACTGGGGTGCAGGGGGAAGACTAGAGTCTGTGAGGGAGTTGGGATGAAGCAGGCGGTTGTTACTGAGGGCAGGGGACTGCGGTGCAGGGGTTTGGGATATGACCTAGGGTAGGAGGGAATTGTGATCTGGGGCAGAAGACCGGGGTGCCAGATCTGGGAGGGGGTATGGGTGTAAGAGGGGGACAGAGGGTTTGGGTATGTTGAGTGGAGGAGCAGAGAATTGGGGCAGGAAAGAGCTGGGGTGCCAGAAGCAGGCTGTGTACTGAGGGCAGGGGACTGCGGTGCAGGGGTTTGGGATATGACCTAGGGTAGGAGGGAATTGTGATCTGGGGCAGAAGACCGGGGTGCCAGATCTGGGAGGGGGTATGGGTGTAAGAGGGGGACAGAGGGTTTGGGTATGTTGAGTGGAGGAGCAGAGAATTGGGGCAGGAAAGAGCTGGGGTGCCAGAAGCAGGCTGTGGCCAAGAGACTTACTTGTCAGCTGCCAAACTAGCCTG